TATTTAAAAAAAAGTATTATCTACATAGAAGCAGGTTTGTTGAGTATTAACGTTCCACCCAGGGTCATTAAGGTAAATAATAAAAAGGATTGGCCACAGTACTGACCCTTGTGGAACCCTACAGTTTATTGTTGTTTCCTGGGAAAATTCCATTAAACTCAAAATGGTTACTCCTTTGTTATTTCTGAAAATTATGAAAAAATTTTACAAGTAGAAAATTTATTAACATTTATATTCAATTTCTTCGGTACTATTTTTTGAGTTGCCATTACCATAATGTTTCTATCTAAATCATGTAAAATCTCATTATGGCGGCCAAAGGAAAAACAAAAGATGGTGGTGCTAATCAAAATTTGGTGGCGAAAAAAATCACAAATTAAAAGACGAATTTGTATGTAAAACTTAGTGTATTTAACATTCCCAAAAATAACGAAGTTTGATTTTTGGGTTTAACAGGATTTCAACCGTTAATTTTTTTTTGTATACCTCTTTGAATAAAAAAAATATAACTATAGTTATGACAAAAGCCTAAAACGTAAAGCGATATTTTTATATTTTATGGCTTAAAGCTTTTGGATTAAAAGCATTTTAATGTAGTATTATTATTTTTTAATAGAGAAAATTCATTTTGGTGAACAAAATAACAATGTTTAATATTTTAATATCCTTTATACCTTTAAAAAATTGAATATTACTCCTAATAATAAAAAACTAAATATAGTTAGTTTTTATCAATATTTTGGTATCAATTTATTAAAAGCAATTTTATTTAAAAATTAAAAAAATATTTTTATTTAATAGAATAGTATCTTTTGCACCTTAACACCTATAACATTTTTGTAAATACTTAAATAAATTATTTTTTTAAATATAATGTATAATTTAAATGTTATATTAAACTTGATAATTTAATTTTATTTTTAAAAGTTTCAAAAAAACAAAAATTAATGTATATAAAATAATGATTGCTTCAAAATGAACGTAATATAATTTTTTAAGATAATTGAAAATTACAGGTACCTATATACATATACACATATGTGATTAAGTGTGGAATTAAATTTTTAAAACTTTTTATACTATATAGAAAAATCAACAAACTAGGGAAACTTTTTTACTTTTAGTTGTAAAATTTAGCCACCGATATAAAATATAACATATTTAAGTCTATGTTAATTAAATTAGTAAAGATATTTGAAAATAAGAGATTTGAAGAAAATTTAGCCCCGGAATCCGAGAATAAAACAAATGTCGTTTATCTATGTAGATAGATGTAATTTAGTATATGTTAAAGAATCTAAAAAACATATTAACTTTGTCATTTATAATTTAGATAGATAAAGTAAGGTGGGACCTAACTAGTCTTAAACACTAAATAATATAAGGTATTTACACTTTATAAATTAATGTAAAAAAAAATAATAGTAAGTGAATTTAATCCACTTAAATAAAGGTTTACAAAAAAATTGATTTAAAATTATATCCTGAGAACTTTTAAATATTTCTTTAATAATTACAATAATCAATCAAACCCTTGGGTGATATTATTTTACATATTAAATTCTTACCAGGATCCTGAGACTTATATAATAATTTGTGTTTGACACTGTGTACTTTTTCATGATATTTTAATTACATTTATTAAATAACGCTAGCAAAATTTAAATATATATTTTATTATATTGCTAGAATTTACACTTCAGTTGCTGCTACACGTATCTTTTACTTTCTGTTAAAATTTATGGCACTTAAGTTTAAGCAGAGAAATTAAAATTGCATTTACGGTTCGCGCAATAATTAATAAAACCTAAGATGTCAAGGAATTCTTATTCGTGCACAACAAAACATGTCCTAAACTGCAAAATGAGCCATTTTATGGTTTAATTTAACCACTAATATAACAAACTTTAATCATAAATCGCTCGCACACGTGTTCCTTTGCAAGATTGTACGTGCGTCAGCATAATTATATGAAATATCAGTGGCATGCCATTTCACTGTGCAAAAGATATTGAGACTCTCTCCATCAGGGTTAAATGGCTTTATTTTTTTTGTTAAAAAATGGAAAATTTATGAAATTATATTGTTAAATTACTTTTAGTAAGTTTATTTATACATTTGTATAGTGTCATGTAGGCACTGAATATATAAGGAACAGTGCAGCATGGAAGTGTCAGTCAAGCTTAGGTACTCGCGACAAAATAAATTAAATAAACGTGCAAATAAATACTCTTGTACAGTAGTGATATATAAATAATTATAATTACCTATAGTAGTTAAGTGTTTAGTTAGTTTTATAGTTTCTTA